TTATTCGCGACGAGGGTTTTTGAATGGTTTTTTGGAAGGTTCCAGGAATCCTGGACTCTTTGTGGCGAGTTTTTTTGCATGTTTTCGGGGGGGGCCCAAAACCTTCCAAAGACCGGCCAACGACCTGCCGAACATCTTCCAACGTGCCTTCCAACATGTAGCGAACACCCCCAATGCACTCCAAAAGCCCGACCGAGTCGTCGGGCACGGCCACTTCTTCGCCGGCGCCGCAGAAAAGGAACCATTGCGGGTCTCCGCCGCGGCGCGGGAGGATGCCGTCCGGAGCAAATCGCCGCAGGTCTGAACCGCCCAGCGGATGTCGTTGTCGGCGATCCAACGCACGTCCGCGGACCAGCGCATGGAGACTGCGAGCGGGCACCCCCCTCGTGGAAAGAGTGCGCTCTGCGATATCCCCTCGTAATTGGCGCGCAGCGATCCCTGCGCTCTGCGAGAAGCAATGCGGAGGGCAATTCCCCTGTGCATCGTTCTCCCGCACCTTGAAAAACTTGCTCGCGGATGGCGGGGCGACGACGTCGCGCGCCAGCGGCAGCGCCCGGCTGCGTTGCGACCTCTCCGCCGGAGCCTGTTGCGACGGGGCGGGCCCGCGCAGGGTTCTCTCGGGGCAAACCCTGGCGCCCCGCGCCGCCGCGCCGACGGGGCGGCGCGCCCGGCGCTGCCCGTCGCGCCGTTTTGGCTCGCGAGGTGGGGGCGAGCGGGCCCGGTTGCCAGGGCGGCGCCCGCGACGGTGCGCTTCGGAAGGTTCTGGTTGGGACTGGCGCGTTTCCTGCTCGCGCAGGGCGATGAACGCGGGGCGCGCGCATTCGCGCGGGTGATAATCCAAGGCCGCGCTGCCTTCGCAAAACGCCCGCAAGTTCCCCGCCTCCGACTTCAGCCGCGGGCGCTGCGCGCGCAACGGCTGAAGGGCAGTCGCAGGCATCCGGCCTCCGTGGAAACGAACGGCTGTGACCGAGTGCAAGTGGGCGGCCGCATGCGTATTCTCATCAGTTGTCGCGCGGCACCCCTCATCCCTCTCTACCGTCGCGGCGCGCGCGCGTCGGGCAACTGCTGCGCCGTCGGCGTGGGCCACGTCCGCGCGCGCGGCAGCAGAGGCGCGGGCGACAGCTGGAACCGCGCGCTCGGGCGCTGTCACTCGCTCGGCGTCCTCGTCGTCTACAGGGACTGCCTCCGCCGCCCGATCGGCCCCGGCGCTGGCTCTTGGCGCCTCCCCCCATGGCCCAGGGTTTGAATGCCAATTTTCCGCCCTCTGCGTTCGCCGCAAACGACGCCTTCTTCGCGCGTTCGCTGCGGAGCCCCGCCTCCGTCTCGGCGTCAGGAACCATCTCCCCGAACGCAGTCTTTCCTCGTGCAGTCGCGGCCCCCGCGAGGTCGTTCTCGCAGATGAGCGCCCGGGCGCTGGAGTCTCGAACGGTGATGAAGTTGCGGGCGTTGCGCAACATGCGGTCAACTGCGGCTGCCGCCATGACCCTCTCAATGGCAACCGCGTCCCCAACGATGCCTCGAAGCTGTTTGGGCCATCTCTTTGACATCCGTACGGGCGCGACACTTGCGCGCCGCTCCCTGGCGACCTAATTCGGGGCACCGTGCGCTGCGGAGCGAATCTTCATTCGCGGCGATTGCGGGCGTCGTGGGGGGGTGGGGGTGGGGGGGCCGGGGCGGGGGCGTGACGTGGCGTCCCCCGCCCCCCCTTCGCGCGTTTCCAGCGTCGCCGCGGCGTCCGCGCGCGCGACGACGACGAGCGACGAGCGACGGGCGACGAGGACGAGGGAGATGACGAGGACGACGACCGACCACGACGACGACGACGACGACGAGCGACGACGGCGACGACGACGAGCGACGACGATGCGCGACGACGAGCGAAGACAACGACGACGGCGACGGCGACGAACGACGACGACGATGACGACGACGAGCGACCGCGAAGACGACAACGACGAGCGACCACGACGACGACGACGACGACGACGGACGACGACGACGACGATGACGACGGCGCCGACGACGAGCGACGCCTCTAGAAGTCTCTGGAAGTTTCCCGAAGCCTCTAGAAACCTCCGGAGGTTTCCCCTTTCCCGACGGCCTACGGAAGCTCTCGAAACCATTCGAACGCGCTTGACAGCGAAGAGCAACCGTGAACAATGACGACCGATGACAACGACAATGACGACAACGACGACGACGGCGACGAGCGACGACGACGAGCGACGAAAACGACGACGACGACCGACGACGACGAGCGACGAAAACGACGACGAGCGACGACGCCGACGACAGAGACGACGACGACGACGACCGCCGACGACGAGGAGCGACCATGACGACGACGACGAGCGACGACGACGCCGACGACGACAGCGACGATGACGACGACGACAAACAGCGAAAAACGACGAATAATTGTGGCGAACACATGCCTGCGAAAACGTCGCTACCTCGCGCGACGTACAAGGAAGTCAACTCTTTATTTCCATCCTCCATC